TCCCTCCCGGGTGCTCGTCGTGCTGTTAAGGGGAGGGCTGCCCTAAAGGAACTCTGCAGAGCCTTAGGGACCCCACCCCTACTCCAGCTTTCTGGACCCCACCCCCTACTCCAGTGACTGGAAACTACAACTCCCAGCAGCACCCGGGAGAGAACGGAGGCCCCAGGGGCGGAGCTAGCAGGAATTCTGGGACATTGGGGGATAAATAGGGCGGATTGCGTGGCGCGCTCGCTCTCTCGCTCCGGAAGCAGCTCTCCCGACCTTGTGGCTTGGTGCATTCAGTCAGCCAAGCGTAAGGTATTCCACTTACTTTGCATCCCGCTTTCTTCCCCTGGGCTGCTTCCTCTTCCTTTCCCCTTTTGTAAATAATCCCGGTATTGACCCTTTTGTGTGTCCCTGCAGTACAACCGAGAATTGAGCGCGGGTGCCCCACACAGGCGCCGGTCCACTCTGGGTGCCCTGTAGCAGTGCGACCGGCTCTCCAGCCAGGCTGCCTCTCGCCTCGACCCCGGCCCCTCACTTCCACCTTGTGGAACCCAGCCCGTGGCCAGACCCCTCATACCGCCGCCGTTTCCGTCCTGAGTCCCCCGCCCACCGGTATCTGACCACCACTCCAGACTGGGCCGTTCCCTTTTCCCAGATCTTGAGGCCGTGCTCGGCCCTCCTGTGCCGCCTCCACTGCAGCCCCCCCCCAAGCCTGAACCCTCTCCTACTCCCCGCACTCAGCTCTGGGATCGCCACCCCCAGCACTCAGCCGGGCCCTTTCACTTGGGCAGCACTGAGGCTGGGGCTCCACCGGACAGCCTGGGCCTCCCAGCAGCACCCAGCTGTTGGGAAATAACCCCAACAAAGAGCTGGGCTCAGGTTTCAACACAGTTTTATTGGGAGGTTTTGTTTTCTGTGAAATACACTAGAGTCGGGGGAAGGGGGGGGTCACATCCACTTTGCAAGATAAGGGTTTCCCACCAGGAAAGGAAGATGCGGACAGGGCTAGCGTTGGGGTGTGGGTGCTTCTCCCACCGCCTCCTGCTTTGCTCACTTTCCATTTCTCAGAAAGCACCAGACACAGACACAAGACAATAAACACGGCAAGATCAACCTCCACGGGGGCCTGCCCTCCCCCTCAGGCTGTGGCTGGCTGCGGTGCCCCAGCCCCAAGGCCTGGCTTTGGGGGAGGGCCACTGCTCCCTTCTCAGAGTGGGCCCAGGTTAATAAATTAGAATAACTTATGGGGTGGGGTAGGGTGGGACACAACTTTGTGCTGGGAGGGCCCCTTCTCTCCAACAAGCAAGAGTTGGTGGGGCGAGGCGGGGCATCTCCAAAGGCCACTACAGTGGGGTAAGAGCGGTGGGGACAGAAGTTGGCTTTTTTCTCCACTTTCTTCCCAAACAGAGCAGAATTAGGGGTCGGGGGAGAGACAAACACAAGGAGCAGAACCCTCTTTTCCAGGATAAGGAAGGGTCAAGAAAGAGGACACTATCCAGCCCCCCCATCTCCCAAACCATCACTAAGATTAAGGATTTGGTCAGTGAATCAATGAGGTGGGTGACAGGAATGTGGCGGGGGGGGGGGGGAGCAGAGGGTGCTGGAGACGGGGTGCCCAGCCACACCCATCTCCCCAGCCCTACAGGACAGACTCCGGTAGGGGGAGAGGGCCTGGGGCCAGGGGTCAGCAATCACTGATCAGCTTCTCCAAAGACATCGTTCTGTTTGCGCTTCATGTTCTCAAAGTCAAAGGCGGAGCCTGCCATGCGCTTGTAGATGTCTTTGATGTCATTACAGGTTGTCTCGAAGTGTGTGGTGGCGTCATAGGAGCAGGAACAGAACACCTGGAAACAGCCGGGGCCCGGGGCCCGGGGCCCAGGGTAAGTGGGGCAGGGCCCTGGGCACACAGCCAGGAGCCAGGGCTGGGACAGGCTGCTTACCTGGCTCTCGGCACCGTCGTCGACAGGCTCATACAAATCACTGATAGCCACGAACCTGAGGGCAGGCGGAGGAGTGGGGATGGGCACCACAGCCAGGCTGGCCTCCCCAGGCTCCTCCCACCGCCAGCCTGAGCCCCAGGGCCCCGGCCCCCTGGCCCCTCACTTCTGGTCAATGGGCTCCAGCAGCTCCAAGGCAGGCTCCACCTCTTTTTCGGGCTCTGCGGTCTCCACTGTGGTGCTGGCGATGGCGATGTACTTGCCCTGTGCAGCCACGTTGTGCGCGTAGGAGATCATGCACACGTAGATGTCTGGCCGCCAGAAGGGCTCGTTAACACTGGCACGGAGAAGCCCCGCGGCGCAGCAGGCAGCACCACAGCACCACTCTCACCGAGGCAGGAGCCCAAGCCACCCAACCCGAGGGCCCCATGTCATGGGGACTGTGACATGGGTCCCCTTCCTTCCATGGAGGCCGAGCGCTCCACGGCTGAGGGGGAGAAGCAGAACCACCCCAGAGAGCGTGCCCTGGAAGAAAGCCCACCTGACTTCCTGTTGACCTGATTCTGGGGGATGATGATCTGGCAGGAGTTGGCGTCGTTGGTGTTCTTAATGGGGTGGCTGAGGATACAGATGATGCGGATGACCTGGCCAGCCTTCCGCACTCGGTCGGGGATGTAGCTGGGATCGCAGATCAGCTGCTTGCAGCGGGCCACCTGGGAGTGCACCAAAGGGCTTGTCCCTGTTCAGTCACTCCCTGGGCAGACATGGAGCTGGACCCGTGAAGGCTCGCAGCCCTGGCTGGCTTCAGGGCCCACTCTGCGCCATCACCACTGGTCCGCCCTAGCACAGTTTTGCCCTAGCCTCAGGGAGGTGGGCCCCAGTACGCAGAGGCTAGGCAAGGCCACTCTGCTGAGACATGGCGATCAGAACAATATCTGGACCCAACACTGCCCGTGGGCACTGAAACATTTCTCAACAACAGGAACGACTGAGGGGACTTCTGGAGCCCCACCCCCCAAGCCAAGGCCTCCTGAGTCATGGTCACTGGGCCAAGAACCCCCAAGGAGAGGACTGGGCTTCCCCCTACCCCCACAACATCACGGTGTACTCATAGGCTCACCTCTCCCTCGGACTTGACACCCACCACCTTGCCATTCTCCATGATGATGTCATCCACGGGCTTATTCAGCATGTACGTCCCCCCATAGATGGCACTCAACCTGTGGTGGGGAAGAGTGCCAGGAGTCTCCCTCCCAGGACAGTGGGAACCGTTGCCCTTGCAGCCCCCACCCCCTACTGGGGCAGAGAAAGCTGCCTCAGAGTTCAGCACTAAATTCAGAGCGCTCCTTCCTCACTGGAGCTTCTACGCAGAATATCTGCCAAGCATGAGCTGGGGGAACAGGCTCCGAAAAGACTGACTGCCGGTTCCAGAGCCCTAGGCTCAGGCCTGGCACTGCCTGACTCAGACAGGAGCTGAGCAGACCTTTTTTGGGGGCCTGGCTGGACTGCCCCTGGGTGGTGCAAAGTGCATTCAAGTCACAGTGGGAAGGATGAAATGCTATGAAGTGCTCAGGGGGCAGTCTCCATTCTAAACCTGAGTCCTGCTAGATGCTGCCAACTGAAACATGCCAGGCGCTCACCTTGCAAAGCCCTGGGGCAGCTCCCCAAGGCCGTAGAGCGGGTATAAATATGGGCTCTTGCCATACCGGGCCAGGGACTCGCTGTACAGCTTGATGCGATTGATGGTCTCAAGACAGGGCTGATCCAGGTAGCTGGGGGGACAGGGTTGGGTGAAGAGGCTCCTCCAGCAGCACCCCCCACTTCACCCCCACCCAAGCATTGAGCCAGCCTTCCCCCCCACCCTCCATGGCCTGGGGAAGACCATGGGTCAAATGGAGGGAAGGAGTGGACAGGTAGCGTGGGGGCAGGGAGCAGCCGGCAGGAGTGGAGTGGGCAGCGTGAGGGAGAGCCAGGGGCCATCCATCATGCCAGCTTCCCCTAACTCATCAGTTCGGTAGAGCGCCAGGGCGTGGCCAGTGAAGTCGATGACATCTTGACCCAGATCGAACTTTCGGTAAACATCACGCATGCTGGTGTTCTGGGGGTCAACACCCTCAAAGGTCTTGGGGTCGTTCTCATCAAAGTTGGCCACAAACACCAGGAACTTGCGGAAGCGTCTTTTCTCAAACATGCCCATCAGATCTGTGGAGAGGGCGAGAACAAACCTCCCACCGCGAGCTGGGAACCTCCCCTCCCCCCCCACCAGGCGCCTGGCCCCAGCTCAATTCTGCACTGACTGCTGTGTGCACTTAGGTTAGCATGTCTGTCCCTTTTGGCCTCAGTTTCCCTTTCTTTCCAACAGGGGCTGGCCTGGACAGGTTCTGAGGGCCTTCCAAGCTCTGACACTTGGGGGTGTTCATAGGCCAGGTTGGGCCCAAATCAAAGAGCCTCCCCCTGATGTGGACATACCTCCTGGCCACAGCATTAACTATAGGTGGAGCAGAAGAGGGAAGACAGGGCAAAGGGCTTCAGGAACTGCATGAGGAATGGACACCCTGTTCTGGACCACTGGCCCCCATGATTCTCTGGCTCTGGAGACCCGCACTCACTGGATGCCAAGGCTTCCGTCTCAGTGGATGGCACTTTATAAATCTTGCCACCTTTGTAAACGAAGCTGCCCTCCACCACCTTGAAATCTAGGTAGCGAGTCACCTCTGTGTACAGTAGCATCTTTACCAGCTGCCCTGTTGGGGGTGGCGGGGGAAGACAGCACCGTCAGCAGGGCTCCCTCCAGAAGCTCCAGCTAGTCTGGCTGTCTCTGCTCTGGAGCCAAACCCCCTCCGGTTGTCCCACTCACCACCCCCACCTCCTTCATCTTCCTCACCGTTGGCCATAAGGAACTTGGGGATCAGGTCAACATTCCAATCTCGGCCCCGGCCCATCGCCTCTGGGGGGCCCTCCAGTAACTGAAAACGCTTATACAGCTGCAAGCAGGAAGGAGAGAGGCACCTCAAGGACCGCCTCTTCCCACCCTGCCCCCACTAGAAGCCCTGGGGAGCAGGGCTTCAGATCTGCCAGGGATGAGCAGGATCGGGGTGCCCTCACCTCCTCCAGGGGTGTGATGGAGGAGCTCTCGCCCCCATAGTACGGGTTCCGGTCCATGTGCAGCACCTTCTTCCCATTCACTGACATGATGCCCGATAGGATGCATTCCTGCGAAAGGGGCGACGCTCGGGCATGGCACTCCCAGCTGTCACCAGCGGGTTTGCTCCCGCCCCAAACAGGAGCGAGCACAGAATCAGGACTCCACTCCGTGGACAGCTCCTTCCACCCAGCCATCCCTCCCCTAGCCCAGGGCGAGCACTTCAATGGGCCAGTGACAGTCACCCAGTGGACACACAGGCAGACCTGCTGCGGAGGAACGGGGTGTAGGGGGACAAGCAGAATGGGCAGCACACACAGAGGGGCTCTGGCCGCCTAAGTGCCAGGAAAACCACCTGCGTTGAGTGGGAGAAAAGGCAGCGGAGAGGACACAATGAGCCAAGCTGCCGAGGGGCCACTGCAGAGGGCGGGGCAGCCGACGGGGAGATGACAATGAGTCCACAGGCGGCCCCCCTGGGTGCTCCCGCTAGTGGGCAGGAGCACCCGACCCTGTCTCCACCTGCACGGGAGGGGCTTCTGTGCCCTCCACCTCCCAGGGGAACAGTCTCCCGAGAAGCAGTGCAAAGGGGTTGGGGGGCAGGCAGAAGACAAACGCCCTCACGATGACTGTCACCAGCCCAAGGACAAAGGCTGCAGACAGTGCTCGGCCTGAGGTCTCCATGGGAAACCTGGGTGGGGTAGCGCACCGTGGTCACTACACCTGCCGCTGCTCCTTCTGGAACATTCTCTGGGTTCCCAGGACCCCAGCAGCAGCAGCAGGCTGAGGGCCCACCCTGGCAAGGACCCCCCCCGCCCCCGCCATCTGAGGTCCTTGGGCCCCACCCCACTAGGCTTAGCGCAAGATGGGAGGGCAAGCTGGCGGGCGGGCCAGAGGGCGGCGTCGGAGGACCCCGGGGGGCATCGGACCGACTGGGGGTGCGTTTCCCGGCCCAGCCGCTCGAGGCAGGGGTGACGGGAGGGGCCGGGGGCCCGGGAATTGAGGGCGCGTCAGGAAAAGGACAGCTTGTAAGAGATGGGGCCCCGGCGGTGCGCAGAGGCTGAGCCGTCGCGCGGAGGCGGGGGGCTCGGACTCTCTTTGGGGGAGGCGGGCGCCGGGGCGCCCCCGCAGACGGCAGTGACAAGAGGCCGGGGCGGGCCTCGCAGCGGCGCCTCGGGGCCGAAGCCGCACTTACGGTGAGGCCAGTGCCCAGCACGATCACGTCGTACTCCTCGTCCATGGTCGGGATCAGTGGCAGCGGCCGCGCGGCTCCTCCTCCTCCTTCACCTCAGCCGCCGCCGCCGCACTGGCCAAAGATGGCGGCGCCGCGCCCGACCCCTCCGCCGCGTCAAAGAGTC